ACTATTACTAAAGGCTAAAGTTTGATTAAATTTATCCCTCTTATTTAGTGTTTTGATAGTGGAACTAGTTGGTTATCAGTTCATTCATTCATTTTTTTTTTTTTTTTGTAGAAATTAAAATAATTGGCCTAAAGGTTGGTTAGACGAGTGGTCCAGGATGGTTTGCGAGGAGGCTTTCAGTTGTAGAATTATTGAATTAATAAGAACAAAAATGTCTAACAGTAAAGAAGGAAGGTATGCATCCAAGAAAAGAAAGCAACATCCCCTTACTCGCCATTTAATTTTTGTTATCATTGATTATGGTTGTGCAATGTTAATTTAATATTTTAATTATGTTGAGAAATCAAGTCTCCTAGTTTTCTTATATTGTATCTTTAGTAGCTGTATAAGATAGACTATTGTTTTGTATTTTCTATTTTGTATCTAGATAATTACAGCTATTATTTTGGATCATAAACTTTAGGATCTAAGGCTTGTATATTGGCTATTTATGTCTACTGATTGTGAAAATAATATTGTAGCTTTTTCCTTAACATCTCTTGTTTTCTACTATTCCTTTGTTTTCTACTAATTATTCAAGGTTTAACCTTGATTTTAATGGTGAAAAATAATTTTCAAAGTTATGGCCATAATCTATAATCATACACAACCTTACCCTAATATACATTTATTTTGTGTATACTAATTTGAGAATGTGCTAAGTATATCTTTATGGCGCATTCAATTTATTGATATCATAATGATAATCTTAGAAGATTCATCTAAATCATCTAAGTATCACTTAAAAATAAAATGGGATTTAGTGATAAAAGAGAGTAGACATTTGATAAAATATCGCTTTCTTATTTGGAAAAACCTGTATAGTTGGATAGATTGTTTTATGACAAGAATTTAAGCTCTGTAAGTATTGTTGTATTGGTGTGGACAAAATTTGAGGACAGACAAATTACCTAAAAAATAATTAGATATAATAACTCGGTTATTACAAAGTCTAATTTAAAATTTCAATTACATTACATCACAACTGAAGTTAAAATGAAGGAATTTTCACAAATAAAGGCATGATTACATTATTTCACTTTATTTTCACTTTATTTTGGCTGTTTTTACTTGTTAATTATTTATTTCAAATGTTTTAATTGATATATTCTTTTGCATTGATATTGTAGATGTCATCTACCAGTGAAAATACTAGTACTACTTGTGAGACTTCAAATGTCGTTCATACGTCGACACCAGTGACAAGTGGCAATGTGAATCCTACTCTTGAAAATGTCATGTCTCCACCAGGAACACTACCACCACCACCACAAGCATCCAAATGTGTAAGTTTTACTACTAGTAGTACTAGGAAGAATGCTTCTGATGTGTGGGACCATTTCACTAAAAATGATTGTGAGAATAGGGAGAAAATGATAGCTTCATGTAATTATTGTGGGGCTAGTCTTGGTTGTGCAAGAAAAGTGCTACTACTGTTCTACGTAATCACTTAAACCAGTGTTATAAATACCCTTTCAATTTAGTGGACAAGAGACAAAAAACCTTAGTTTTTCAACAACACTCAGGTGACTTCTCTAGTGGTGTTGCACCTACTTCCACCTCCACACCCCATTCACTTGTGACTTGGAAATTTGATCAAGATATGATTAGACAGGCTGTAGCTAAAATGATAATTATTGATGAGTTACCGCTTAGGCATGTGAAGCATGAGGGGTTTCGATACATGATGAGTGTAGCACAACCGAGGTTTCAAGTTCCCTCTCGTACTACTGTGGCTAGGGATTGTTTGAACATTTATATTGATGAGAGACAAAAGTTGAAAAATTATTTTAGTAAATACTCTCATAATGTTTGTCTAACCATTGATACGTGGACATCTTATCAAAACCTTAATTACACGTGTCTTACGGCTCTCTTTATTGATGATGATTGGAAAATGAACAAAAGAATTTTAAACTTTTGTCCGATTACTAGCCATAAAGGTTTAATTATTGGAAAGTCAATTGAAAGATGTTTGATTGATTGGGGTATTTCTAAGGTGTTCACCGTGACGGTTGACAATGCAAGTTTTAATGATGTTGGAATAACTTATCTTAAACATCGGTTAGAACGTTGGAATGGAAGTGTGTTGAATGGTTCCTTTCTTCACATGAGATGTTGTGCACATTTATTGAGTCTAACCATTAAAGTGGGGTTAAAAGATATGAATGACTCAATATTTAGAATCCGTTCTGCGGTGAGATATGTGAGGTCTTCTCCAGCGAGATTACATAGGTTTAAGGAGTGTGTGGAGCAAGAAAAAATTGAAACAAAAAGTCTTTTAGTTCTTGATGTAGAAACAAGGTGGAACTCCACTTACTTGATGTTGAATGTCGCTTTAAAATTTCAGAAAGCATTTGACTTGTTGGAAATCCAAGATAATAAGTATAGAGAAGAGCTTACTGGCGGGAAAAGGTCAAGGGGTTTGCCTACGCCTACTGATTGGGAATATACTTGATACTTATTGCCTTTTTTGAAAGTTTTTTATGATGCAACTCTACGTGTGTCAGGTTCCCTTTATGTTACCGCTAATGTATACATGGAGGATATATACAATATTGGCTTGAAGATTTTGACATGGTGTACAAGTAATGATCCGAGCTTACGTTTGATGGCAGCAAAAATGAGAGGAAAACATGAAAAATATTGAGGAAATGTTGATAATATCAACATAATGTTATTCATTGCAGTGGTATTGGATCCCAGCAAAAAGTTAGAATATGTATATTGGGCTATTGATAAGTGGTATGATAATGATAAAGCTGGTAAACTGAAAACAAAAGTGCATGACACTTTGTTTGCTCTATTTGAGGAATATAGTTTGGCTAAGGCTTCTCCTAGTGCGCAATCAAGTCAGCAAACTAAACTTGCAAGAAATATTGATTTGACTGATGCAAATGTTGCTCCTCAAGTCGCTATGAAGGCTATGTTTAAAGAGCAAAAGGTTGGACAACATGCTTTGGAGCCTAAATCTGAGTTGGAAAAATATTTAAAGGAAGAATGTGAAGATGATGAAGATGAGAACTTTGATATCTTGATGATGGAACCAACCCAAGTAACTCAGTTACTCATGCATTCAATCACTCATTTTAGACTAAAATCAACAAAGAATAGAAAAGAGGCAGTGATTGTCTTGCTTAAAATGGATATTTGGATTGATATTCAGTAGCTCATTACAGTGAATTAAACAAAAAGGAAAATATGGCTAAAACAGAAAAAGGAAAGAATCCAGGTTGATCTTCGAGGGTCAGCTCCTCCCCACAATTCCCAACAATATTCTCAATGCCTCCCTCCTCTGTTGGTTCTCCTTTTATTCCTTTATTTGTCATGCTAGCTGTGTTGTTGTTCCACCTGTCAAACAAACTCATTCACGCTTGTTGTGCTGCTGCCTTACTTGTTATACTGCTGCTCCAGCTGTCCTGTATGACTCTTCCTTCTTTGCCCCTTACGGTTATACCACTTGACTATTGGTGGTCCATCACTTGACTTGGTGGAAGATGAATTCATCAAGATATCAAATTCTCTCTTTGATGACACGAGATGTTTTGGCTATGCATGTTTCTACTGTTGCATCGGAGTCAGCTTTTAGTACTGGGGGTCGTATATTAGATTCATTCCGTAGTTCTCTTACTCCTAAGTTGGTGGAGGCTCTTATTTGTGTACAAGATTGGATTTAGACTACGCGTGCACCGTTCGTCAATGAGGAGAGCTTGGATGAATTATCAGAAATTGAGTCAGGTAAAACTTTTGCTTTATTTTCAAATAATTAATATTTAGTTATAACTTATATCTTTCGTGTTGAATATATTTAGTATCATTACTCATATTATGTTTTTGTCCAACTTTTGTAAGGATTTCATCTTTGGCAATGGAAAATTCTCGTGTTCATCTATATGATTGTTGACTAAGACCATTTCTATATCATTTTGTATTGGTGCAACCCCCCAAAAGGTAGAATATTGATTTTTTATTGTTTAATTAGTTTTACCAATATGATATTTTTCCCCAAATACAATTTAATTATATATGTTGGATAAAGAATGTTGTTATGTTAATGTTGTTGATTGCCTTCTAGTTATTTGATGTTATATTGTGTAATGTGTTGATTGTTGAAGTGGGAAAATCTAGCCGATTGGTGGGGCTGGTTTGTTTGATTGGAAAAATAGAAGTGTTTTAATTTATGAGTATGAATTTGTTGGTTGTATACTTATTGTTTTAGATCTATTAACATTGGTTGGACATTTTAGAGGTTGCTAACATAATGTTGTCTTTATATATTAGTAGGCTAAATTAAATTTTGGGGATGAATAATTAAAGAAGCATAAATTCTAAACTTAAAGTTTGTATTTTGTAAATTGCAGGTTGGAACTTGGAAGCATAAAGGCAAGCTTTAACTTGAGAATGAAGAACCCTGCTTGCAATTCAGTCTAGGAAGGAAATAGAGTGAAGTTGGTGTGATGAAGTTGGCATGAAGATAAAAAAAATGTATTAGTACTAAGTTAGTTGTTTTGTTTGTCTTTTTATTAAATTTGTAATTGTAATTTGGGTAATAGATTTTGTGTTAAGTTGGCATTAAACAACTTGTGGATTAATTTGTTGATAATCATGCATTGTAATTTCAATTTTATTAGAAGAATTATTTGATTTTAAATTTTTAATAAGCATTTTCTAAAAATCGGATCGATTTCGGATATCCAGTTATCCGATCTGGAAAATTAGACATCTAGAAAATCGGATATCCACATATTTTTGATCGGATGTAGATTAGGATATTTTCTGATCCGAAAATCTGGATCGAATCAGAAATAGGACCATTCGAATCGGATATCCGGATTTGAACTACCCCAAATATAACCACTCTTTTTTTAATTCGCGCTTTTGTTTTATTTTAAAAAAAAACAAACACTAAACAGGACACATGTCACCCATCACGCCATCGGAGCCATCTTCCTGAAGTCTCCATGTCTCAGCTCATCTTAACAATCCCCAAACGACTTGTCGTTTCGCCTTCTCTCACTCTCCTCCGCGCTATTCACACTCACAGAATAGCTTCAACAAGAACAAGACGGACACTGTGTTCCAACATGTCCTCCAACTCATCACCTTCCCCTTTGACTCATTCCATCGTTCTCCCGTGTCAACTCAGCCAACCCGTCCACGTTGTCGCTGCCCCTGGCCTCTCTGAAGCCGAGTTCAGGTGAGTCACATAAATTCATAGACAGAATTCTTATATAGATTTTTATTTATATATCTGGTGGGTTTTGCAGGAGTGCTGTAGAGTCAAGTTTGTTGAATCAATGGTTGAAGAACTTGCAAGGCCAAACTGGGATTTTAGCCAGTGGTGATATGCTTCTAAAACAAGTTCTCATTCAGGTTTTTTCTTTTTTTTTTTTAATCTGATGAATGTACTTTTAGCACATTTTGTTAAAATTTTCAATTTTGGTGGTTAAAACGAAGTTTTCGTTTGTCGGGTCATTTTGTGAAACGGGAATGCATAATAAGTCTCATTGTCAAAGATTTAAATTTGGGAAAAATTGAAGTAAAGTGGAGATACGTTTTGAAATTTCTTTTGTTTGGATAGTTAAGTGAGAAAAGAATTTAGGGAAATAGATGGATGAAAGCATGAAAAAGACTTGTTGGTGGCTATAAAATCGTCATATTTCTCTGTAGATCATTGATTTTGTTTTTTAATTTTTAGATTAAAAATGAGAAATCAATATTGACATATCATTTCGCTTAAATTGTCAAACGCAATTTGAAAGTTTCTTTCTACTTTGATTGGAAGAAAAATGATAATAAACTTGATTGAAGGGTAAGTTCTCAAATTGACATCTTGTTGGTGGCAGGGAGTGGATATGTTTGCGAAGCGCATTGGTTTTCTGAAATTTAAGGCGGATATTTTCAATAAGGAGACAGGAAAAAAGGTGTCTAATCATCTCCGTGTGTAATCTTATGAGTAAATAACCATTACAATCTACTTACTTGGATCATGTTTGATAACACTTAATTAATTGTCTCATAAATGTACTATGTACGTTCCTTAGTTTAGGTTCTCTTGAGCTTTGTAAAGTAGTGGCTTTGTGTGCCCTATTGACTGTATAACCCATTCTCAAGCTTGTGGTAGTCTTCCTGCTAAAATTGTAGTTCCTATATTCAGTGAGCTAATAAATGCTTAGGTTCCAGGTATAGTATTCGCACGAGGACCAGCTGTAGCAGTGCTGATTCTTTTGGACTCAGAAGGTGAGACTTATGCTATTCTTACTGAACAGGTAATATTTTTGTATTTTTTGTATTCATGTGCTCTTATTATGCTTGAATTTTTGGAATAACTAATCAAGCATTATACAAATAGTTAAAAATTTGAGTAAAAAAGATGTCTGCTTTTATACTGCTGCTTCATTTAATTCTTGATACAGTGCCATGTGTGTCTAAGGTTAGGGTTCCCACTGGGCGTCTAATTTTGGAATTGCCTGCTGGGATGCTGGATGATGACAAGGGTAATTTTGTTGGCACAGCAGTTCGTGAGGTTTCTGTCTGTCTCTACTCTCAATCTCTATCTGAGCATAAATGCATTATTTGTTTGAGTGCATGAAAATGTTTGGGGATTCATTGTTTGGGTGCATGTTTATGCTTCAAAAAACAATTTAGCAACATCTTCATTTTTCATTCCAATTTCAATTTTAGCTGCTGCTAGATTGTCATTTTGGACTTCGTCTCTGTATTTATTGATATGCTCTTTCACATTCAACCATCAATGTCCATCACTTGATGCCTTGGCTTAAACTGGCTACTCATCCTTTCTGTAAAGAATCTGTGATATCCATCTTTCTTCATCAAGTTTTAATTGTGGAAATGCCTAATTAATTGTTTTGGCATTCCAGTTTAATCTATTGACCATACTAATTGACTGAAAATGGTGAGTTTTTATAGTCTTTGAATTAATTAATCAGATTTCAATGTTCGTAGCATATGATTAACATTTGACATGTTTTCAGGTTGAAGAAGAGATTGGCATTAACTTAAATGTAGAAGACATGGTTGACCTCACTGCCTTCCTGGATCCATCTACAGGAGGCAGAGTTTTTCCTTCTCCGGTGTGTTCTTTATTTCTTTTATCTTTTTATAGTACTTTTTTTTTTTTTTTTTTTTTTTTTTCATTTTTTGGAGGTAAACACTTGTGCTAATTAAAGTTTAAGTAGGGGGTCTAACATTTGTGTTGGAGATTGTTTGGTTTTATGAGCTACCAAGTTATAGAATTTCCATCTTTCATTCTCACTACACAAGTATTAAGTTGAGTTTAAATAGTATGAAATCTGTTGTTGTTAGTTTCAGTTTGGCACTAAGGAATGGTGGTTCTATGAGTAACTAAGATTATGGAATTATTTGATGAAAGTTTGAGGCTATTGATATACATCAATTTTGTTGGAAGGTGTAAATTGATATAAGAGATAAATCTATGAGGCTGTTTGTACAAAATAATAAACAACGTTAAAATTTAGTTTGTTTGTATGAAATGATGATTTATCAATTTCGTGAGTTTGTTGGAAGGTGATGAGACCCCGCTGGTACACGTCTTCAGCAGAAGGAATAAGAGAGGGAATAGAGGATAAAATGGCACTTTTTCTACGCAAAAGCATGGGACAGGTGGCATCCTTGGATTGGGTTTAGAATAATTCTGTTAGAGTGAGAGTTGTGCGTAAAAAGGGTTGACAGAGAACATTTGTGGGATTGAAAAAGTAAAGGGGAATTGGGTTGGGGAGGTACTGGCCCTCGAAGCCAGCTGGTTGCCCTTAGTGATTTCTTTTCTTTAATTTGTTCTTTGGTTAATTTGCTTATTGTCATTCACTGTTCATTTTTCTGCTTGTACTTGGTGTATCTTGTGAGATTGTACTGGTACTTGCTGAATATTAATAGTAACACAGAGGAATTACAGAATGTTTGGTTGTGTGTGCTTGTGTGTTGTGGCGGTGACTGTGAATTCTGGAAATTGTAGTGCATGAGTGTTTTCTGCAGGTGGAGATAAAAGAAGGGTTCTAACAGAAGGTAACAGGTATAAAATGAATTCATCAATTTTTCTGTTTGTTTGAAGGCGACTGGTTGAGTGACTTTAGTCCAACTGGATAGAATTTTTATTCCGTTGCGAAATGTACATGTTCATTTCAATCTTTACTTGGAGTATTTGAGTGTGGGAAGTTCATTCATGGCATATTAAGAAGGGACCAATGCTTGCAATTTAGACTACTATGGTCTGAGTAAGTTTGACACCGAAACATAAATAATGTTTTGTGAAGAAAGCATGTGTTATTTTAGTTGCATGCTTGCTGTTTACCGAACAATATGTTATAGTTAATAAGCATGCACTTAACAGTATAGGATCAATTAATCATCTAGAATGAGTCAGATTTATTTCAGGTTTTGGATATGAAGTCAGATGTTATCATGTATATTTCATGTACCTCAATTATTTGAGTAATGAAACTGTGCTTTAGATCAATTATGAGAACCTTGTATCCGATCAGAACTTCAAATTCTAAGATGGTGGCAAATTTCTTTTCTGATAGTCTTAATGATATCAACTGTTTTTATTTTCATCTAATCAGTAAAGTTTATTGTTCTTGTTTTACCCTGCTTAGGGAGGTTGCGATGAAGAAATTGGCTTGCTTCTGTACAAGGGAAGTGTTGGAAAAGAAGTCATCATGCAGCTGCAAGGAAAAGAAACAGGTCTTCGCGAGCATGGTGAGCTGATTAAGGTTTGTGTGGTTCCCTATCGGAAGCTCTGGCGAATCACACCTGATGCAAAGGTATTAACAGCTATTGCACTCTATGAGATGGCCCAAAGAGAAGGGCTCTTGCCAGTCAAAATCTAATCTCCAAAACCCTTTTAGCTACTTGACATTTTTTGTTGTCTGCTAAGGTGATTTATCACATCAGCTGTCTCGCAGCAGTGACTTTTTTTTCTTTCTCTTTTGCAAAAGCTTTTTACCTTTTATTTCTTAGATACGTGGACAATGTTACCTGTAACCTTCTGAGGTTACTTAGAAAAAACTAATCAGTTTAAGCAGCTTATTTCCTTTAATAAACACAACCAGGAAAGAAGAGGGCTTGGCTCATTTTATTTATTTACTGTTCACTATTGCGTTAACTCCTGAGCACAGATTAAATGATGACGACAACCATCCTAGCACCAGGAGCTATAGCTAAAGGATACTAAGTTCACTTTATTACATTTAGACTTTGCTGGCAACAAAATCACTGTTAGTTGACTCCCAAATGGTGGTTCCATCACACAAACAAATCTTTTTGTTGTTCTCACCAACCCCGGCACTCCTAGCGATTACTGCTGCAGTGACACCTGAATCTGATTTATCTTCAGTTCCATAAACTGCAATGGATCGTCCAATTAGATCAGAAACTCTCAGTTTTTCTTTCACTCCCGAGAAGGTGGCATTGCCTTCGTCATTGACGTCTAATGTTCCCAGGTCGCCAAGAGGCTAATAAAATCCAATAAACCCAGTTAGGAAATGCCATTATGATATTACTACAAACACACTAGTGACAGTACTAAATGAATCGTTAAAGATTAAAATGCATGGCTAAACTAATAATCCACAAATGCAAAATCATCTGTAACAACAATACAATTCCTACAAATAGTTGGAGCAAGGCTTGAAAGCAATTTAGAGCACTTTCACCATTTGAAAGTTGGGCTTTTTAGTGGATTACACGTAAGTTAACCAGTAAACATCACAAACCAAACTCCCAGAGTACATGCCACCCTTCCTGTCAAAGGTGCTCTATTGCCATTGAACTTACCAATGATACACATAACAAGGGACTGAGATGATTAAAGAAAGCAACTGAGTTTAGGAGAAGCAGTCATGCTATCATAATACGATACTCCAATTAGTCAATAATTCATCTCTAAACTATATACCCCCAACTTTAGATTTCTAAGAACCCAAGGATATTACATAGATCTTAGAAACAATAGTATTCTCAACAAAGGTATAGCTGAATGCCTAATACACCGACAATGAAGTAGCTTACCTAAAATAACCCAAACATAAACAATTTAAGTCCAGATACACATTATGATTTTAATATAAACGGTACAATGTGAAAAAAGTTGTACATTCACAATGTATTTACATATCACCAGGCCATTAGACTCAAATTTTACTAACCAACCACTACATTTATTTGAATTCTAAACTCTCTGAATGATCATTATCACACAACTTATATATCAGCACTCAGCCTCACTACGCGGCTAATGGTAAATTTAAACAAACATAATGAAATGCGAGAATTATATTGAAGCAAACCTGTTTAGCAGTTCCTTCAGTAGTTGGATTATACACTTTTCCTGTGCTAGCTGCACCTTTTGTCAGATCACCATATTCATTGATAGACCAGCCATGCTTTCCAGGTGACAACCCACTAAAGCTGGCTTCAATCCTAGCACATTCCATATTCACTTGAGCTAAGCGAACCACACCAAAAATATCTGGACCTTTGAATTCGCCGACAGCAGCAGGCACTAAAAATTCTAGAGAACAGAGCAAGAATAAACTTCAGAGACTGTAACTCTTTTTTTTTTTCCCCCTCAAAACAGTCATTAACATAATGATTTAAACTACTGTCACTTATACCAAAAAACAAAGCAAATGGACCACACTACATCTCACAGTTTCCTTTATCATGTGAAGTACAGTTATTTTTTTCTAGGCGTGTGAATGGCATATGGTAGAGAACTGAAAAATGAGTTCTGCAATTTCATTGATTTCTTTTCGACAGGCCTTTATCCTTACACCGAAGCAAGCTGATTGCTGTGGTGTCAACATGAGGTAGTTAAATGGGCTCTTAATTCCAAAACAAAAGAAACAACAAATATTTACTGACTGTTTTTCGGCTAACTTGTATTGCAAAAGATTTATTATTCAGCATCCCATATCCCAATCATACATTCAATTCACCTCATTTAGATTATGTATGTGCCAGGCTCACTATGTTAAGTGTTTTACACCAGAAGATATGAAGTAAAATCAGGCTAAAATAAAGTGAAAAGGTTAACAGATTCAGCTAACTCAAATCACAAAAGAACAGCAAATAGAGAAGAGATAAAGATATCCAAGAGGAAAATCATATCAAATATTAAAGACTCATAAAAATTTGCACCACCAACCTTCAGGTACCCCTTGACCAATTAAACGGGCTTTCCTCCCTGTTTGCTCCAAAGCTTCAGTCATGGTCTTCACAGGTGAAGAACCCAAAATCCTCACTATTTGATTGGTCAAGTCCACCTCAACATTCTTGACTCCTAATATATTCACCCCAAATAAATGTAAATAACAGGAAACTTAAAACTAAAATAACCAACATAAAATGCATCAAAAAATATGAAGTCTATTGGAGTCATTCACTGGTCGCAAATTTCCTACCATCAACAGCTTGCAGTTTATTCTTGACAGCATTGACACAACCCTCACACTTCATGTCCACCATGAACTCTGTCTGACAAATGACGAAGACAAAAATTTCATTAGGAACATAATTAGAGTCCACAATGTTCTTCTAAATTACAACACCAAACATATTAGAAACGTCAACAATCCCAATAAAATAACTCATATTAACCTCAATCGAGCAAACATCGATCTTCAAACAACAAAAATCTCAATCACCAAGAACCAATAAATTAAATCAACACTCCAACAACATAGATTAGAATAAAACCAAGAATTGAACTTACTAGTAGCTCAGGCAAGACCTGCAATTCAAATAATCGACCAAAAAAAAAAACCATGATTAAAAATTCGTACTTTATCATAAAAAACACGAAAAAGATGAAACTTTTGAAAGGAAGAGACAGATAAGATTTAACAATGAACCTGGGAGGTAGGTTTGTGATCAGATGAAGGAGCGTCCATGTGAAGAGCAGAAGGTGGGATGACGAAGTTCTTGACAATAGGCAATCTATTTTGGCAGAAAAGTGAAAGAGGTTGTGAAGAGAAAGGAGAAAGGGTTTGGGGTTTGGTGGGTGGAGACTTAAAAGAAGAGGAAGAAGAGAAAGCAAAGAAAGCTATGGCTGTTGTGGTTGTCGCTGTAGCCGGAGACCTTAGAAATGCCATTTTCCGTTTTTTTTTTTTATTTAATGTTTAGACTTTAGAGTGTTGGTTTTGCTCCAATTATGACTTGCTCTTTGTTCTCTGGGTACTACCTCTAATTTCTGGACATTTCATGCCACATGGCGAAGGTTGGTTCATTTCAAGTTAGGAAGAGAGAGAGAGAGAGATTTATAGTTAAAATATAGGAAAGGAGAAAATTTTTGAAGATCCATTTTTTCATAAAAATTTTGAAAGTATTTTTGTTTATTTTCAGTGTTTCTTATAGAGCTAAATCTATCTTTATAATTATACTAGAAATCAAGAAAGATAAACTAAAATCAAGAAATAGTATAAAAAATAAGAGAACAATCCCCATTTTGTTAGTTTTTCTTGTTAAAGTTAACTGAAATTAAGGTATAGATGTAAATTTTAAGAAGTGTATTTCAAGCTTTTAGTTTTCATAAATTCTATCCGGAATACTTTTTCTTCTTTCTATCTAGCCTCGACTGCCAATGAGGAGGCCAACGAGGCTTGACCTGGCCTCATTCTGTTTTAGTGGCATGGGGTGATTTGTCTGATTTTAGAGTTAGAGGGGTAAAGAAAGAGTGATTTTAGGTTTAGAAGGGTAAGCACATCATTTGCTCTTTTAACATATTACTATTAACGACTTTTAACAGAATGGGAGCTAGCCTCTATTTCAGTTTCAGGTACTAGCAGGTGCTTTTCATGATTTCGTGAAAATAAATAGGAGTTTAGTAAAAAACCTCTTTATGAATATATACTCTTTTTTTAATTATTTTCTTTTAAGATATAAATATATATTAAATTAAAATCAAAATTAAGAGACATGGTATATGTACTTTTAATAAAGCTCATATGAAAAATGCTCTTCCTGTTCAACTTAAACCTTCATTTGTTTTCAACTTTTTTTGAAAAATAATGAAGTAGTGTTAAAGCCTGGTTTTTTCTTTATCCCCCGAGAGATAAAAACAAATGTTTAGGAAAGTATCAAAACTCCCTAAAACCGAATTCACGTTAAAACGCCATTAATAGAAGTCAACCCATGTCCTTTGACTTCTAGAATGACTTTTATGCCCTTAATAACCACTTAGATAATAAAATTACTGAAATATCCTTTATCGGAAAATGACGAAATGAGCCTTAAATGTTGATATGATACTAAGTCAATTTTCGTTCTAGTGTGAAAAATATTTTTTTATTCCCACTTAAGTTATGTAATGCCTAAATTAGCCTTTAAAATGTGGATAAATTACATAATTTTTTTTTTCGGGTTCTTGTTCAAGAGTTCAATTATAAAGTAATTTATCACTTACTAACATTGACTTTAATAAAAAAAAATTTGCTAAATTGGTCGAAGCTCAGTTAACACTAATTTTTTTTCCCTTTCAATTTCTCATATATTTCTTGAGAAAAATTTCTCTAAACTAACAAACCCCGAAAAAAAAAGTTAAACCAAACTTAATACAAATCCATTAAAATAACATTTTAACAAATTTGGAAAACAAAACCAAAATACTCAATAGAGATTAACCAAGACTACAAATTTAAATTGAAGAACAAAATCAAACTCAATCCATTCTACTAACAAAATTAAAATTGGACAAAAAGAACATTTTTAACATAATCTGAAATCAAAACCAAAATACAACAATAAAAATTAACTAAAACAACAAACTCAAATAAATTTGCTACAAACTCATAAAACAAAAGGCCTACTAATAGAGATTGAGAAAATTGAGCAATGCTAGTTTTATAAAGACACATACAAAGGGGGCATACAAAGACAATCCCCATCCTTGATTTTCATAATTTCTCTCTCTCTCTCTCTTTTTTCGTTTTTTCTTTGTTTTTTTCTTCTGGATGATGTCACTTTGTAACCCTCTTTGTATGGGTTTTTGTAAGGACAGTATTTTTCGAGAAAATTATTACCTATCATCGGCGATTGCCATAACCATCAACAAAGTCCAATCCACTTGTTGATGTCAAATTTCGCACTAAACTATAATTGATTGTCTTGTCCTTAGAAATACAATGAATTCTCTGTTCTACATTTTGACTTGTTGACTTTTTGTCCTTGGAACGTTGATGTCTTGGTGTCTTTGGCCCGATAAGAAAATGGAAAATAATATAGCCAACGATCAGGATTTTGTCACGTCATTCGATACACAAATTCGGTACACTACCGTCGGTGGCTGTAGCATTACTCTAAGAAAATAGCAAAGGCTTCCTGAGGAACTACAAGGTCAGAACAAAAGGCGGAGGCTAATTTCGACATTGGTCAACGTCAATTTGGAATGCTCAAGTGCGAGTCTTTTTCATACAAATATTGAGATTATCATTCATTGCCCAAAGAATCAAGTAAATCACAATGTTATTGTGGTACATGACCCAAGGTTTGACCTTAAAAACTCAAAGGAATAAGTCAACCCTTGAGGTTTGATGCACAAGTATTATCACATAGGAATTTGTTGTTTTGCCTCCGGGGAAATTCAGGCGGCACACCGCTTATTCTTTTTGCTGCAAATAAAGACTTGTACTTCATTTTGGAATAATTAAGTGCTAAAGGAAACAAAAAACAATAAAGCTACGGACATCCGGTTTTTTGCACCGAAAATGTGTACCGGCCTACGTATCCCCCTGACTCACACCAGTAATTCAGATGCGTGATTAAACAATAAATATTTTTCTAGTGAACGACCGTCCATCAAATATGGACGGCCGTTCACTTACATGGACTCTCGTCCATATTATATGGATGAGTCCCCATTTAAAGGATGCTCGTCCATCAGTAAAATAGAATAAAAAATTCTTATAAAAATTAAGGATGGCCGTTCATAGGTTGTGGACGACCGTCCCTTTATTTTGGACGGACGCCCACAAATACGGGACGCTCATCCATTAAGTTTGGACAGACATCTCCAAACTTAATTTGGTTTAAAAAATAAAATAAAAAATTTGGACGCCCGTCCATAAATTGTGGACGGGCGTCCCTTATTGTGGTTTTAAAAAAACAAAATAAAAAAACTTGGAAGTGTGGATGGGCGTCTGTAACTAATGGACGGCAGTCTGTAACTAATGGACGGCAGTCCACACTCGAGGGACGGTCGTCCCTTATGTAAACAGCAAATGTCTTCTCTCGGAGGACGTACAATTTCTCTCTCTATCTTGGATTCATTTGCTCTGTGGTTTCCATTTTTTCTGTTCATTTTCTACGTACAGTTTAGGATTTGCCATTCTCTTCTATGTCTTCTTCATCAGAATCATCCTCCAAGAAAAACTCTTATTTTCTCTCTCTATCCTGATCACCCATTAATAATCTGTAGTACAAACACCAAATCAAGTAATCAAAAATCACCCAACCAGTATTATATTCAAAGGTTAGACTGAAAAGCTGGACGCAATAATTTTTGGGAATCGGAGAATGGTGATTTTGTGTTTTGCAGGTTTACCAGAGAATCGAGTGGGTGAGAAAGGAGGTCCAAAACCATCCTTGTTGTTGAACATTTGTATATATGGTATTTACTTTCTTTCTTTGTTTTAAAAAATGAACTTTCTTGATTTGCTGTTGCAGATACCATCCAATAATATTTATCAGTACACTACTCAAGTTCTTGATGTGATATTCGCATTGCTTGATGATTTGGATGAGTCAGTGCAACTGACTGTAGTATCATGCTTGCTGACGGTGATTCACTCTACCTTTGCGTCTCTGTTTTTTTTTTTTTTTTATTTCTTATGTTTCTAGTCGTGGATATCTGGATTCATTTGCTCTGTGGTTTCCATTTTTTCTGTTCATCTTAGATTCTTGAGTCGTCATCTAATGATGTTGTGGAACCTATTTTGCTGAATCTTTCTATGCGGCTTCGGAGGCTGCAAGTGCGTTTATTTACATTCAATGGTCTTTTCTCAAAAACTTTTACATGATTTTCTGCATTTACATTGTTGTCATTGTATTATAATCTATATATTAATATGATCCCAGATGCATGCAATCAGGATGGCAAATTATCTGTTTAAATTTGTAGTTTAGAAACAGAGAAATTTCTCACCTTTTTGCCTGAGAGAATGATGTCGGATTAAGCAGTCAAGATTTGTCCATTTGCTATTTACATAAGGGACGGTCGTCCCTCAGCCCACACTTCCAAGTTCTTTTATTTTGTTTTTTTAAAACCACAATAAGGGATGGGCGTCCATCTGGTTACGGATATTCGTTCAAACTTAAGGGACGCCCGTCTACAATTTATGGAAGGACGTCCAAATTTTTTATTTTATTTTTTAAACCAAATTAAGTTTAGACAGGCGTCCGTAAAGACCAAATTAAGTTTGGACGAACGTCCATTCCTTACGGATGCTCGTCCAAACTTAATGGAGCCATCCAAAATGAAGGGACGACCGTCCATAACCTATGAACAACCGTCTTTAATTTTTATAAAAATTTTTTATTTTATTTACTAATGGATGGACGTCCTTTAAATGGGGACGTCCGTCCGTAGTAAATGGACCCCCATCCATATAATATGAACGGGAGTCTATGTAAGTGAACGACCGTCCATATTTGATGGACGGCCGTTCACTAGAAAAATATTTATTGTTTAATCATGCATCTGAATTGTTGGTGTGAGTCAGGAAAACACGTAAACCGATACATATTTTCCATGCAAAAACCCCCGCGTCCGTAGCTTTATTGAACAAAAAATTAGTTAATTCAAAAGTAAATTTCCTTTTTATTTTAAATGCTATCAAAACAGGAGTAATGGGAAAGAGAACATCTTCCAAAATCAATCCAAATGAACACACTACAATACTACATATTCAACACCTACAAATCAATCACTTCCTCAACACAGACGCTGAAAAGTAAGTTGCCCTTCACCACCCACCAACCACCTTCAAATCCCACCATAGAATTGGGAATTACAACCACAAACACAATGGATCTACAACCATTGCAATACCACTGTCCACAAACCAAATCAAGTCCACCACCCTGTTATCACCATAGATTACAACAAAATCCCAAAATAAATAAACACCCAGGTAAATCAAATCAAGAAACCTTTTAACCATAAACAACTTGGTTATTTATGAAAACCTATATCCGTGAGACCAATAAATCCACGACAGCAGCTTCACGCATCGACGCTTCGACGCCTGAAGTGGTACCAGTATGGCCATTCTAGTGGCTTTATGCATAGCAAGCTAGTCCACCATGATGGATTCGCTCCAGGCCAATAAGGCCACTTCGGCTACTTCGCGCGCGACCAGAAAGGCAACCACTACGGACTAGCACATAACCACGTTTAGACAAAATCTAAGATTTGAGGAAGAAGAAGAATGAAAAGAGAAAGAGGAAAGAGAGAGATTGGCCTGTTTGGTAGATTGAAAAATGTTGTTAAGAAAAAAGTGTTATAAGTTGACTTGAGTTTGATTAAATCAGTGATGAGATTCTGAAAATGTGTTTAATAAAATATTTGAAAATTATACAAGAATGGGATAAAATGCTAGAATAGTTTAAGACGGAACTTTTTGGCGACTTACTTGGTGGTTATGATAGAAAGATGTAAAGAAAATGGATTAAAATTGTCGAGGTAGGGGCATTTTGGTAGTTTGAAAAGTTCGTAAATTAATCTAGACCCCAACTTTTAGTTAATTTAATCAATATCCCTAATTTAAACGTCCGAGTCTCAGCACATGACGCACGCGTCAGCATCAGAAGGGTCTTACATTATATCCAAACCAATCGTAGCCGTTCTATAATCAATAGCAGCGGGTAATTCCAATATAATTGAGCCAAAACAAAAAATATAATTAAAAAAAAAAAAAAATCCACAGCCAGTTTTTTGTAGTCGAGGAGTCTAGGGCTTGGCGAAGCAAAACTTATCATGAATCAGACACAACACTTTTACTCTTAACATCAACACTTGGCTTTACGCTCATACAAGGTAAACTTTTTCCCTTCCCATCTTAACTACTTTTAACTCTACTTTATATCTTCTTACTGTTTTAATTCATTCTATGTCCTGGTTCTGTTTGGGTGATGAGAAAATGCGGGAAATTGGAGGATTTTAAAATTGGTTCTTGTTACTTGGTGTGAGCTGAAACTAGTATATTACATTTCCAGTGTAGTCCAAATTCCAATGGTCATGTCCAAGTTATTTTTAACCTGTGTGCTTAAAAGAAAAAGAGAATAGGAATCTGTAGATTTTATTTGAGTGGAATTGTAGAATGAATGCTAATTTTAATTAAATCAAAATGTTATATTTTTGTTGTTTTTTCTGAAAATTTCTGCGTGAGATGAAAAGGATTCCGAAGTATTCTTAAAATTGCGTACTATTGATTTTTTTTGTGCTTTGTTATTTTCAATCATCACCACCTATTGTGAGTGGCAAGAGATTTTTGATAGCTGTTTTAGTTCCTTGAAGATGATACTGCTATGTTAATTTTTATTTATTTACTTATTTATTACTATTATTATTTTCGCTTTGTAATGTTATACTGCTATAGTTTCTTTTCTTTTTGTTTAATTTATTTTATTTTATTTTTTGTGCTACAGTCTACAGGTTTCCTTTTGTATCTGCTTTTTATATCTGCATTGTGACGTAGGAAGTTAATAAAAGGATATGTCTTCTGATACTGCGAAAGAAAATGCTTCTGTGGTTGATTCATCGGTGACTGAAAAACTTGAGATTGGAAATTCGGATGATCGAGGTAATTATGATGCAAGTTTACTTTGTTTGTATTTCTCCATATAGTTTCCCTTTTTTAATGCTTTGAATTATGCATGCAAAAATCTTAAAGTTTTTTATCTTTTCCGTTTGTATGAATGCATTGTCAGATTCACTGTGATGTAATAATTATACCAGAAACCTCAATAGAGATTATTTGAGTTTTTAAGAATTGCGGTTGACAAACTAGTTATGGGCAAGGATTTGAGAAGGCACACAACATCCAGGAAATGCAAAGGTGATTATTGGGGGCAGCACTGGTGCATTACACACAACCTTTGCCTAGCAACTAAGGTCTGTCTTTTCCTTGGGGCTTCACACTAAATTGTAGCAGCCAACAATGCATGCAATTGCACTGGCCAGGCGAGGAACACAATGTCCATGCCATCCACAATTAAGTGTCGGCACAACCAAGCATGCAAATTTCAGTAGTCCTGATGTATACCATAGCCTTGGGAGTTAACCTTAGCTTGTCTATGCCATTGTCTTGCTTGTGTATATATTAGATGAAAGACTTCTCATTTGCACCCAGTTTTTGATGCACAAAAGTGATCATAGTCTACTATTGATTTAAACCATCATGATCATCTTTGGTCTGTTACTAACCCATTCTATTATGCTGGGCATAATGATATATAAAGAATTTGTAATTTAGGGGTTTTAGAATTTAAATGCGTAGAATATATTAAGGATTTTTGATTTGATTATGGTTCTAGAAGTATTCTGTTTGATGGTTAAAGCTTTTAGAATTTTTAAGTAAATGTTATTAATTTAGTGATATAGTAACCTAAATGGCGATGGAATAATAATGGTAAATAGTAACTTAAACTTCTAGAAAGAAAGAAAAAGTGCACAATAATAGATAAGAGAGAGAGAATATTAGGGTATTTTTTATTTGTGATTCAAAAATAATTTTCAAAAACAAAAATACAATTCAAAATTTTGAGTTGTATCTTAATGTCTTTAATATATGAAAATGTTTTGATAATAATATATAAAAACCGTTTTTAGATTAAAACTATATAATACTGTGAAAACGACTTATAATGTTTTTCTGATTTTACACTGGTTCTTAGAATTGTACCCAAAAACTGTTTTTGAAAACATTCGATTCAATTCTACTAAACACATTTTCATAAGATTTTTTGTTCACCCGTTTTCAAAAACAAAAGAAACTGTAGTTAGATTTTATACCAAACATCCATGCATTTAATAATAAACCAAAAACTAGATATTTTATTAATCAAAGCCTTAGAAAATAGTAGATTATAGAAGGATTTATAGACTTCTTTTCCGTATTCTAATAGAATTAGGATTCTTAAAATGCCTAATTCATTGAAACAACTAAAGATCAGATACAGACTATTAACTCTACTTGGACTCGACAAAGTTACTAATTTAACCAGTCTTAAGGAATTGTAGAAATTATGCTTATGCATCTACATGCAAAGTACCTATAAATACTAAATTAATTATATTAGTAATTACATAGAAATTAGTACTAAAGCTTTTTTTGCTTGACAGCATGGCTTAAATTTCTTAGATTATTTTGCTGTAGTTACTCTTTCAATACAATTGAAGTCGAAGCACTTCTTGTGCAAATTTTTCTGGATAAGCTTTTACTCAGTTAACATGGAAAAAGGTAATGTTAAGCTGTTGTCTCAGCTGTAGAATTGTAACTTTTTTAGCACATCATTTACTTGCACTATTAGAGGCATTGCTTGAATTTCCCATTTTGTAGAATTGTTGTTAGGAGACTGTCCCAATTTTTTATTTATGCATGTTTGTGTGTTCAGAACTTGATGGATTTGAATTTTTGATCTTACATTATTGTCCTCTTCTTAAAGCAGTAAATTGTGCTCTTTTAACTTGGATCTAGGCTGCATGTGATAGAGTACGTTTGTAGCTACCAGTTTCTTGTATGGTTGCTATTTGATTTGATCTGATGATTTAATACTTGCTCTTGGTCTTTAAAAAGATGAACAAATGCTGTTGTAATATTGATTTGTTTATTTATGTATTGTATGTGTATCTATAGCTTAGAAAGTGAAAAAGTAATTGTCTTGCTGGAAAATATTAATCAAAATATGTAGAAGAGATGTCACTAAGCAGAAATCCTCTTGTCAGAGAGCTCAAGCTACAAGGCTAATGAGGACTATCCGTCTCGGGCAGAAGAAGCAGAAGCAGGGCATTCTAATGGTCGATTGGAAAAGTCCACTGAAAACAAAAAGGGTAAATTGTATGGTACAAGATATTTTATCATTAAGAGTTTGAATCATCATAATATCCAACTATCAATCGAGAAAGGGATATGGGCTACTCAGGTCATGAATGAACCAATTTTGGAAGAAGCCTTTCATGTAAGACCCCTATTATCTAACTTAATGAACTTCTTTTTCAGTTTCAATGATTTATAGAGAAGCATCTGCCTGTTTTGCAGAATTCTGTTAAAGTCATTTTAATATTTAGTGTCAACATGAGTGGTTTCTTCCAAGGGTATGCCCAAATGATGTCTTCGGTTGGGTGGAGGCGAGACAGTGTCTGGAGTCGAGGAAGTGGTAAAAGTAATCCTTGGGGGCGTAGTTTTAAGGTCAAATGGCTGCAGTTAAATGACTTGCCTTTCCAAAAGACTCTTCATCTCAAGAATCCATTGAATGATTACAAACCTGTGAAAATTAGCAGAGACTGCCAGGTGTCCTAATAAAGCATCATGATTTTTTAAGTAGTTCTTTTGGAGATTTAAAGAAAATTACAATATATACTTCAATTTCTGTATTCTTTTTAGGAGTTACCCCAAGATATCGGAGAAGCTCTTTGTGACCTTCTTGATGGAAAGGGTGATCTGGATGGAATGCTAACAAGGTATCTTTGTTTTACGATCTGAAAGGTCTTATATTTTGTCAAAATGCAGTTCATGAACCTTTTCAGTTGTTAGACTAACTCTTGAACAGTTTTCCAAGGGGTGATCTTCCTGCTAAGAGGCCTTGTACTGAGCCTCCATGTTCTTTGGGAGATGAAGAGTATCATATGCCTGCACTGCAAATGACATTGACCAGGACACCCATGCCTTATCCTTCCTTCCTCTACCAACATCAAGCTGGATCAAATACATTTCAGTTAGCTCACAGATCTTCTGGGGATGCTGAAGGTTTGCCTTTCCATTCACCGTCGTCAAAATTTTCAAGAATGAAATGTTCTCACCTAAAGGGGAATCTTTCTAGTTTACAAGTGGACCATGATTTACCTTCTCAATATGATTTATGGGGTTTGTCTGCAGAGAGTCTTCTTGCCAGTACCTTAACTGAGGATGATTTTCTCGAAATGGTATTGGGCCCTGTTTTAGTTTCTCCCTTTTTTATCTTGTGTAATACTGTTGTTCTATGTATTTTAGTTAATACTTGAAATACTATGCTTTAAGTGAATATTCTATGTCATTGCTTGTTGGGCATGGGCTATTCATCAAGTCAGCTGAGTCCTCTGGAACTTATTTTGTATTCAGTTCACTTTTCATTTTAGGCTTTGAATGCTTTATTTTTTATCTTGAACACTTGACGTAGAGTAAATTGTGTTATATTTTATGTAACTTTTTGGATCCTATTGCTACATTTGTACTTTTAGACATTTCATTGTATGAATAACCTTCATTCTGGCAACTTATGCTTTAATTTTTTCCTTGGTGACTGACTTATACTTGATTTGTTATTGTAGTCATACGAGGAATACCTGGAAGTCCATAGCAGAAGCATCAAGCAGTTGTGCCATCCTGTCAGTATATTTGTCTCTTACCATTTTACTGATTTGGATATTTTTGGATAAATTACATATGTTCCTATTTTTCTGCATTGAGATTTTTATGTAGTCTTCTAGAAATAACTCCTTTTTTGGCATAGGAATTATCATTTTGATCTGGGTGAAATGGTCCTACAGTGTAATGCCATTTAAATGTATCTTGGTTTTGTCATGGGATTCAGCAGTGGCATGAACAAAGCCTACCGGAGCTGTTTTAAATACATGTAGAAATTACTGTGAAAATTTTAGGTATGGGCCGAGGTTTTTGTTCTTTGTTGTCCTACAGGACCTCTGAGAGTAAATTAAACTTGTGTATATAGAAACTTATGGAGGCAGGTCATCAGATTTTCTTGTCCTATTGGGCTATAGAGTATATGAAACAATAGTTTCAGGATGCATATGGAACTTGTTGGGAAAATTGAAAATTTCAGGATCCTATGAGATAACAATCACCTGATTGATATTTTCTGTTTGAAATAGTATATTTCAAAAAATGACACCGTCATCTTTCTTTTCTCTTTATAGAATAATAAATGAAACAGTTTTTGGTTAATTGAATCCTTTTTATAAGCCTATGCTTGTGGGACTTCACCCTGTTTTAGACTTTGAGCTTGGCTGGTTAAACAGCATAGACCTCTCTTTTGATCTAATCATATGTTATCTCTGTAGTCCAAAGCTGAGCTGTTCAGCCTTGTTGACAGGTAGGTGGAGCATCTTGGACAGTGCCGGTGCCTGAGTTGTCAAATAAAAAGCAAGATGATGATTCGTAAGTATTCAAGTTAATTGCTGAAATCAACTGTTGTGTTGTAAGTCGCCCATTCGTTAATGTTATTTCATGCAGAAACCCAAGTTTTGTAACTCAGAAGCCTTACTCACGGAAGAGAACACATCATTCATCCCAGAAATGATTGCATTTCCACTGTGGGCAATATGTGAATTTGCTTTGTTCTAATCCCTGTGATGTTGTACACAATATGTTGGATCTAACGAGGGGGGGTGCTTACCAACATGTAAATGGGCAACATTGCCCCAATTATTCTTCTTTTATGTTTTTTCCTTTTCCTTTCAAAGAGAGGATTGGAAAAGGATGACTATGTTAGATTTAGAAAACTAATGCATTGAATTTGGTTTGGCATGATTAAACATGGTAGAATGTAAATATGTAAATTCATCGATTTTTTTGCTGGAGGTTTTAATAGCAGTTATTTCTTTCTCATCGAAGGCAAATGGTGGATATTTGATTTTGATGCGAATGGAATGTGTTAATTAATAATTCATTTAAAAATATACATTAAGAAATAAAATGTCTATTTTGATCATTATTCATACACCAACAATTACTAAATCTAATTTACCAAACATATAATCATAGCTTTTGAAAATTGAAAATCACAACAATTGTAAAAAAAAAAACATCTACCAAACACATTTCAAAACTGATTAAAAGCTATACTGATCCCAAACTAGATCTGAGTCTTGATAGATTTTCACTGTAAATGTTTTTATTTTCTGAAAAAAGGGCTGGGTGTAAAACATACATTTATTTAACCATCTCAAAATTCTATTAGTTTCATCATCAATGTTTATAAAACACTTCTTCCCTCAACTAGGCATTTATATGCATTCATATAGGGAATGATACATTATTTGGATATTATTTTAATTATATCAAATACTAGATAATAAATAATAATAATTTTTCCATAATAACTGTAATAATAAAAATCACAACACCAAGCTTAGAAGTATTAATATATTCCCAGCCACGAATTGTTAAAGTTTATTCACAAACTTTTTCAAGTAAAAAGTATTTCTTATTGAAGATATTATTTTACCTTAATATATATTGGTAAAAATTAAATCCTGTAGTCTTTAGCTCATATCGATTTTCTTTGAAAGCTTTTCTTTTAAAAAAAAAAAAAAAAAAAAAAAAAATGCGCGCAGTCTCTCCCTGCTTGCTTCAAAGTTAAAAAACATAAACATATTGGCATTTGGCAGGACAAATTAGAAAGTCCATGGAGAAGAAAAGCTCTGGAAACATAAAAATAAGTTTAGCAAAGACGAAGTTATTGCAAAACTCAAAGCGATGGAGACTTCGACAGGCTCGTCTTAAGATCATTCGCAAGCTCAAGGACAACGTTAGTCTTTTTCTCCAAAACTCACTCACAACACATCCTCTGGTTTTTCATTTCATTCCTATTTCATGATTCTGATAATCACCTTGAAATACTTTCAAGGTTATTTTATTGTTTGTTTTCACACAAATTTTTGACAATTTAGATTAGATACAACTTTCTTTTTAAAATTTCTTCGACCTATGTGGGATGAACGATTTTGACAATAACTTTGTTTCAAGTTTTTTTTTATTGAAGATTGGTTAAAACGCTCCGAATTTTTGGCTTATTTGTTTATTGATTCTAGTTATTGAGCAATATGAAAGATTGATTTGTAATTAAATGACATGTATATTGGTTTTTTGAGTTGTACTTAGTGGTTTAGTTTTTTAATTTCTAGTATATATCTCATAGATTAGAAAGCATCTCCGTTTAATTTTAAGCAAACCCTTTAACTGTTTGAAGTTTCAAAAATTCAATCTTTAATAGAAAATTAAATCCAGCCCATGGTTTTTTTCTAGAAAAAAATCAAATAAAAAAAAATAAAACAGGCATCTTAGAGGATTATATGATGATTGCATTCTTACTTTGTTATGGAAAATTATGGATCAACTGAATGCTTTCAGCGCTTTTTCAATTATAGGTAGTGAGTGTTGGTCTTTTTTCTTTGTTGCTTGGTGTCCTATGATTCCACCAGAAACAATGAGTTGGCTGATATTTAACTGTTTGGCATGCTGAAACTGTTTATTCAGGTCTGTTTAAAATTTTTGTGGAGTGATACTAAATATTTTAATTATATACATGCATTTGTTTAGAAATTTTGGAATTTTAGAGATCATAGAGCAATTAAGCAGCTCTTCTAAATTTGAAAACACCAACCCTATCTGTGTGTCTTATTTATTTCATAGCATATGACTGTAATTCACAGAATGGAAAAATTTAAATTATTTATTTATTTTTTTAAATTGCATTGTTGAGTGTTTGTTTAACCAAATATATGTGTGGAGACCCTGAAGATGCAATATCTGCAGGAAGAATTGCGCAACAACATTATTTCTGTTGTGAAGCAATCGGCAGCCCTTAATTCTGCAGGTGCTGCAAATTTGAAACCTAGACAACTTTCTGATTCCATACATGAAGAGGTTGGGTAAGTTTTCTGCTTCTTCAAGCTTTTGATGACCTTGATTTTAATTAAAAAATGCTAATCATATCTGGACTGATAAATTACTAGGTCCAAAGTAATGAGCCAAATTTCTGATGGTGTGTGGGAAATAATTAGATCGAAGGATGGCATGAAAAGTGAAATTGAAGAAACAGTACAATCTGTATACGATAAATTAGTGAATCCTGGTGGGTTAAGGTGGGTGAATATCAAGTCAGACATGCAGTTCAAAAGGAACCTGACAATAATTGTCCTGTCAAGGCCTCAGCATGTACTGTTGATGAGACATTGATATGAGCCAAAAGCACCCCGGTTTCTATCTAAACATAATGATCAAGAGAAGCAGCTCCAAGAGGCAGCAGCTGCCTATGCCTTATGATAAAGAACCAGTAGAACAACAGAAGGAAGAGAACCATACTCTCGAGATGTGCTGGAGCCACCTGGATTTTCAATGGATATGGAGCACAAGCAGCCCTGTGAGGTAGTGATGAGGACCCTGATGTGCCTCCTGGCTTTGGTTGATGCACTAACATATTCATGTTTGTGGAGACTTTGGGATGAAATAGTTATCCATAAAATTGTGGAGGGACTGAATTTTACATCTAGGAGGTTGCTCTTCTACACTTGGAGAGAGGGTTTATGTCTGAATCATCGAGAAGATCAGATGCATCAGAACTGTTAATATTCTGTATCAGAATTATCTTTTACCTGTCATCATTTTTATTTTTGAAGTAATTGATCACAGTTTTTCTGAATTTCATTATTATAGTTCCTGAATACGGGCAGATGTTTCATTCATCACATATACGTCAATAAAAAAATGCATTAGAGGCTTTTGATTAAGTTTTGAAGCTTGTCTTTCCCTACTTTGGTTAGGGTATAGTCTCATGTGTTGTTTGTGCTCACTGAATACTGTGTTGCAGGTCATATGGTATCACTTCTGATTTTAGTTATTGCATCTAACATTGACTTTTCTCGTGTTGTTCTGCATATCCATTCTTATCATCCTGGTATAGGCCTGTAGGGGTGTAGGGGATCTGAAACTTATGATGGCTTGACATCAACCAAATCTTTAATTTTTAACATTGTTTTGCAAATTACTAGTTCCTGATTGCTGTATGTGAGTGGAATCTGATTGCCAAGCTATTGCATACAAAGAGGTTAATGACCCATCTAACAGGTTTCCTCTTTGGGGCAAGGTTTATGTTCACTGTAGTTATAGTTGTTCTCTGTACTGTGTGCATCATCTTGATTGGAGGGGCTACAAGTTTTTCCACAGAAGTGGAGTTGCTTCATTAGTTTTGCGTTTTTACTAGGACCAGACCACCACATTTTAGTCTAGCAGTGGGGGGTTTCCTAGGGGTATGCTAACTTGGGTTAGTTTTGCTTTCAACAAGAAACTGAAGTGAAAATGACGACGGTGTTAATTTTCTTTCTGATATCATTGCATAAATATTAACTCTGCCTGGGGCACTGAGAAATTCTCTCTAGGCCACCACTCTTGTTTATTTGGAAAACGATATATATATAAAATCTTCAATTTTGAAACAATTACTACATTGTTGAAGGGTACTTGAAGAAACGAGATGGTACTGTTGTACAATCACAATATCTTACCGGCAGTTTTTGATTCTATGACAGTACAACTCATTTCTTCCTTGTTGAGCCTAGTAGCATCTGTTCTTTATTCAAATCTCACAGAGATTGGACTTCTTACAAAGTACTTAGCAGAAACCCATTTTATATATCCTTGAGCATATTCACCAACTTTGTAACCTGATCCAATATGACTGAATGTCACTGAGTAAGTTGCCTTTTGGTTCACATTTGAGAAATAAAGTCTGCTGGGTTTCACACTTACATAAACACCTTTTGGTGGAAAAACCGTGACAAAATAGGATTAATTTTCTTGACCAACATTTGTCACTGTCCTTGTGAAGGTCTGAGTCGATCCCAGTGTAACAGAAAATGAAGGGTAGTTTAGCTGCCCCTCAGTTATGCTTGGAATATTTGAACAGTTAACTGTTCTATGCACAATATAGCTTACTTCCTCATCGCTATAGCCCAGACCGCACAAGTAAGGAATATAATCATCTGGTTGAATATCATAGACTAATCCTGGGTTGTTTGCCCTCGATGGATTAACATGTCCAGCACCAATTCCAAAGATATCTGCAGGCTCAAGTGTTTCATCGACAATGGGTTTACCTTCAATGTTTCGGAGATAAGCAGTGGTCATTATGGCAGATTTAATGGCAGCTGGCGACCAGTAAGGATGAGAGCTCTTGAGCAAGGCTGCAATACCACTAAGATGAGGACATGACATTGATGTGCCTGACATCATGTTGAAAGTAAATTTTAAATTTTTATTGTCGTCGAGAGGGAAGGGCCATGCAGCTAGAATGCTCACGCCAGGACCGATAATATCTGGTTTAAGAATACCGGGGCTGGCCAAGTTGGGACCTCTTGAGGAGAAGGAAGCAACAGCAGTAGATTGGGGATCTCCTAGGACTGTTCCTTCAAATAGGATTGTTGCCATGGGTGTTGCCGTTGAATTAATATAGGATTTGATCTTAAGCCCGGCAGCATGGCTAACGTGTGTTGCAGGCAGAACATGGGCATCAACATCAGTGCTGAAGGCATTTGGTTCATCATTCATGAGAATCATGGCAGCGCCACCAGCATTTTTCACTTCTTCCCCTTTAGCAATTCTTGCAATACCCCCACCCCTTTCACACAAGACTACCTTACCTTTGACATCGACAGCATTCAGAGATCCGTTTGCACATACTGCAGACTCCAGTTTACCATCTACACCAGCATAAACGAGAGGCAATAGCGTAGAGGAGAACGACTTGGGCTGGAAAAGAGATTCACCATCCAGTTCTTCTCCATTCCCAAGCTGTGCTGTGGCTACTACGCTTCTATCTACGGTGCTTGCTCCAACTGTTAGAATCCATGGAGCTTCATTAGAAAGTGTGCTGTTGGAAGGGCCAAAATTTCCAGCAGAACAGCTTACAAATATTCCCTTCCGAATTGCTGCAAATGAGCCAACTGCAATGGAGTCATCAGCAAATGGTACTGAATCTCCACCTATGGAGAGTGAGAGCACATCAACGCCGTCTTCAATAGCTGCATCAATCCCTGCAAGTATATCGCTATCAACACAGTCTTCTTTACCTCCAAAGCATACTTTGTAAATTGCTAGGTGAGCATAAGTCACGCACTTAACTTCTTTGCTAAGTTGTGCGGCCTTAACTCGTCGGAATGAGTTAAGCAGCTAACGCTCACAGGCTCAAAGTATATAAACGAGAGAGATATAGAGAAAATCTAAACTCTGTATTTGATGAATTCAAGTTATATGATTTACATGGTGGAGTTGCCTATTTATAGGCTCAAGCACCTCAAATTAACTATGACTAAGCTACATGCTTCAGCATTAAGAAAACCCTGGGTGTCGGGCATTGGTGCAGCCTTGGAAACGAAGCTCGTGGGTGTCGAGTATTGGAGCAACCTTGGAAACGAAGGTGCTTAGTCGTCGAACCTAGCTGCTGAGTCGTTAACTTAGCTCCTAAGTTAACTTAGCTCTTAAGTTTGCTTCACCCTGAAGTATACTTAATCAGTAAGCAACGTGCAGCATGCTTGGGCAAGCAGGCTGGTCGTGACATTCTCCCGCACCTAATGCTGCGACGCCCTCGTCGCATTGTCTTTATAGCGCAGGACTGAATCTTGGAATTGCCACAATGAGTTTTCAGTCTCCCAACTGGCTTCGGTATCAGGAAGTCCCTTCCATTTTATGAAGTATTCCCGATAGTTTGGCACACCACATCGGCGAACGACTCTGTCGGCAAGTATTTCCTCGATTTCCTTATCAAATGATGTTACAACGGCCGTTGGGGCTCGTTTTGAGACTCCTCGGGATGGCTCCTCCGGGTCTTCATGGAATGGCTTCAGCAAGCTTACATGAAATACCGGGTGTATCTTCAGTTTCGGAGGGAGTTGGAGTCGATACGAAACTTTGCCGATGCGTTGAATCACTTGAAAGGGCCCTTCATATTTGCGCACGAGGCCTTTGTGCACTTTCCTTAAGGTCTTGAACTGCTGGGGCAGAAGCTTTACAAGAACAAGATCACCTTCTTGGAACTCAACATGCCTTCTCTTCTTGTCAGCCCATTTCTTCATTCTCTTTGCTGCCTTGTGTAGGGCTGCACGAGCAAGTTCGGTTTGTTCGTGCCAAGACTTGGCTAACCTGAAGGCTGCAGGGCTCTTCCCATCATAGCGTGTGGCTAGTGAAAGAGGTGTGTTTGGTTGTCGTCCCATGATGATCTCAAAAGGACTTTTGTTGGTTGCCTCGCTCCGCTGCAAGTTAAATGAGAATTGGGCCATGTCAAGAAGCTTTGCCCAATCCCGCTGGCTAGCGCTCACATAGTGCTGCAAATACAGCTCTAACAGTGCATTGACGCGCTCGGTCTGACAATCAGTTTGGGGATGAAAGCTTGTCGAGAAGTCTAGGTTTGATCCTAGCATCTTGAATAACTCTGTCCAAAATCTCCCGGTGAACCGAGGATCTCGATCACTGACTATGCTTGTCGGAATGCCCTATAACTTAATGATGTTGCGGAAGAAAAGCTTGGCTATGAGGGAAGTAAGAGCTTTCTTCTCCGGACAGTCTTTCACCCAATGAGGCCCATTGCAAATTAAGCAATTGTTGCGGGGTTTGTTAGAGCCCTTGTCCCAACGTTTGCCCTTGTCTTTGCCTTTGGATGAGGAGTAGTCTTGGCGGGTGTCTCGGTTGCTTTCTTTCGATTGCCCCCTGTATCCCACACCTTTAACAAAGCCGCTCCTCTTATCTTTGGATTTGCTGCTGGATTCTTTTTGGGTGCTGTAATCAATCAAACTTTTAGCAACTGCTATGGCTGTGGCAAGATCTTGCACTCCCCGACGCCTTAGCTCTGTTTTCACCCATGTTTGCAACCCATCCATGAAATTGAAGAGTGAGTCCTTGTCGGACATCTCCGGGATCTCTAGTATCAAGTCAGTGAAGTCCCTGATATAATCATGGATCGTCCCTGTTTGCTTGATCCGTCGCAAGCGAGCTCTTGCCTCATCCTCGGCATTCTCCGGGTAAAACTGCCGTTTAAGCTCTCTTTGATAATATCTGGTTTAAGAATACCGGGGCTGGCCAAGTTGAGACCTCTTGAGGAGAAGGAAGCAACAGCAGGGGATTGGGGATCTCCTAGGACTGTTCCTTCAAATAGGATTGTTGCCATGGGTGTTGCCGTTGAATTGATGTAGGATTTGATCTTAAGCCCGGCAGCATGGCTAACGTGTGTTGCGGGCAGAACATGGGCATCAACTTCAGTGCTGAAGGCATTTGGTTCATCATTCATGAGAATCATGGCAGCACCACCAGCATTTTTCACTTCTTCCCCTTTAGCAATTCTTTCAATACCCCCACCCCTTTCACACAAGACTACCTTACCTTTGACATCGACAGCATTCAGAGATCCGTTTGCACATACTGCAGACTCCAGGTTACCATCTACACCAGCATAAACGAGAGGCAATAGCGTAGAGGAGAACTCCTTGGGCTAGAAAATAGATTCACCATCAAGTTCTTCTCCATTCCCAAGCTTTGCTGTGGCTACTATGCTCCTATCTACGGTGCTTGCTCCAACTGTTAGAATCCATGGAGCTTCATTAGAAAGTGTGCTGTTGGAAGGGCCAAAATTTCCAGCAGAACAGCTTACAAATATTCCCTTCTGAATTGCTGCAAATGAGCCAACTACAATGGAGTCATCGGCAAATGGTACTGAATCTCCACCCATGGAGAGTGAGAGCACATCAACGCCGTCTTCAATAGCTGCATCAATCCCTGCAAGTATATCGCTTTCAACACAGTCTTCTTTACCTCCAAAGCATACTTTGTAAATTGCTAGGTGAGCATAATGTCACGCACTTAACTTCTTTGCTAAGTTCGTGCGGCCTTAACTCGTCGGAAATGAGTTAAGCAGCCTAACGCTCACAGGCTCAAAGTATATAAACGAGAGAGCAATATAGAGAAAATCTAAACTCTGTATTTGATGGAATTCAAGTTATATGATTTACATGGTGGAGTTGCCTATTTATAGGCTCAAGCACCTCAAATTAACTATGACTAAGCTACATGCTTCAGGATTAAGAAAACCCTGGGTGTCGGGCATTGGTGCAGCCTTGGAAACGAAGCTCGTGGGTGTCGAGTATTGGAGCAACCTTGGAAACGAAGGTGCTTAGTCGTCGAACCTAGCTGCTGAGTCGTTAACTTAGCTCCTAAGTTAACTTAGCTCTTAAGTTTGCTTCACCCTGAAGTATACTTAATCAGTAAGCAACGTGCAGCATGCTTGGGCAAGCAGGCTGGTCGTGACANTATCAGTACCATTTCCACCAGTTCAAGGAACCGGAACTCACCCAAGAATCAAAGCCAGAACCGAGATCCGGGTACCCGGGTTGGAACCGGTTTAAGAATCAAGACTTAACTGAAATTTTAGCAAAAAATAGGGGCTCTTTGTAATTTTATGTTTCAAATTACAATTTAAGGTTTACGAATTAGGGATTGGGGAATATTGAATGATTTTTTAATCACTTATTGCTTGGTCGCCATGTGGGGGCCTTACGGTAGCCAGATTTGGTCATTGCAAGGCCCACATTCGACGATGTTCAAAGGGGAGCATAAGCAAGTTCAGTGGTTGAAACCAGGGTTATCAAATCGTATATTGTATCGCGTATTGAAAACCAAATTTTTTGAATCGTGTATCGCGTATTGTATCGTATCGTAGGATACTTTTTTTTCAAAAAAAATTAATAAATTAATAAATTAATAAATAAAATAATAAAAATTTTCTAAAAATTAATATCATCCCCAAGATTAAGTAAAGAATTTTGTGGTATCATTGGCTTTAAATTATGGTGTTACATAATCAAAATTAATTACAAAATTAAGAATCTATATTATTTTCTCTCAATTATTCATATCATTTTTAAGATCAATGTCAATATCTATATCCTCACTTATATTATTATTATCATGCAAAATGGGCAGCACATATTCCTCTTCACCCTCTTCATGCAAAATGGGTAAATTTGGACAAGTTTTAATAAATCGGGTTGTGTGACCCGATTCCGACCCGAAATTCTTTTTGGGCCTTTAGTCCAAATTAATAAAGTCGTATCGATTTATATTGATATTTTTAAGAATACGAACGGATACGTATCGTATCGTAGGATATATATCAATGTAATAAAAGGTTTAGGATACACTCTCTGATATGTATCATTGGCGACCTGTATCGAATCGTATCGTATGATACGTATCGGGTATCGTAGGATACTAACAACCATGGTTGAAACCTCTATAATTGATCGATAGGAACCTCGAACCTGTCTGGGGTAGGAGCAAACTCATATTAGGCACTACCGCAACATCAATTGGTACAGGAAAGAGGCACAGTGGCAAAGATCAATCAATCTTAATCCATAAGTTTCATTCCCTCGATTTCACACTGAGTCAGCAACAGGACGCTAGACTCTGCATCTCGATCAATCCAACCCAATTGCTTGCGACCCCTAAGTATGGAGGATCGTCAAGCCAACCTCAGCCTGCCCAATTGATAATCACTGATAGTTTGGTACATAAGCCCACGACCTCTGTAGAAGACTTCAACTTGGAATTCCTTGCTTGGTCAATAGGATCTATTGCGCTCTACACAACGACGACTCCAATCACTCATTCAACTCTATTCACAGCATTCCAATCGACAAGATCAATTCCTCACCAGTGGTCCAATACAATCAGCTCGACTCAACCTGTCGCCTCGAGTTAGAATACTTCGCAGTTCGTAATTGTCAGTGCTGGTCTGTTCTCTAAGATTGGGACTCCTTTATAACAAGCTATGGCGAAGAAGCTCGCAGAATTGGGGACGATCATCCAGCGGATCCCTGGAGTACCTACCCCAATCAAAAAGAGCCTCCCACAAAAGTTACGTTGAACCTCCTTTTGTTGATGCAATCACCCTCGCAGAGATGCCTAAGAAATTTTCCTTCCCAAATATGAAGCTTTACGACAGTACTATACTGACCCCAACGGTCGCATTGCATCCTACAAACAAAAGATGTTTAATTTAATATCTAAAAATAAATTAAATAAAAGAAGACAAAAAATAAATAATATATAAGGGTTTTGCTAAAATTAGAATTATATATATTTAATAGGGGTATTGTTGACAAAAGAAAAATATTATTGATTAAGATGTTTTTGTATTTAGATAAGAGTCAAATATTTTACCTTTTTACTTTTAAGTTAAAAAACAAACAATCCTTAAACATCTTCATCTACTAAAATTAGTAACATTCCCAGTTAAGATAAAAAAACAAACAGCCCCTAAGCTTCTTTTATTTATTTATTTTTTTTTTTTTTTTGTGGTAACCAAAGTGTTCGGGTCAGCTTACGTACATCTCGACCTGAGAGAGTAGTACATCAACCTATTTTCATGACCCCCACTTAAATCGTAAATATTCAGATAAGCAATCAAATTTTAGACTGTGTGCCTATCACACAATATTCTCAGTTCGCCCTAACCATCTAGATTACCCATGATGTAACAGTCCTTAAGCCTTAATCATTGAACTCGCATCAAAACATGTGATTGGATTATTCGCCTCCCACACCAAACAATTATTATTATTATTTTTTAACAATCGTTTTGGTCTCTTTGATTGATATTCTCTGTGTAAGGATACAACGAGATGCTTCTTTGTTGGAATTGTGAAAACATTATCAACAATAACATATTCTAATTTTTAGTAACACTACTGATAAGTGTAGACAAGGGCATGATTTGTGTAATTAGAATACTGCATTACAATAAAGCGGAAGTATCAAGAACATATAATCAAGGTTCTTGTAAATGTCAAGCCTTTAAAGTGGAATGGATATTCCTTACAAAAATGCAATTAATAGATGTAAAATTAACTTTGATGTGCACCTATTTAGTAGCACAAGTTATATAACGTAGCATCTATTCTTGCTTTTGTTTCAAAAGGAGACAATTATTGGGCTTCGAACGACATGGTCAGTTGAAATCCAACTCAAATTTCCTTCCGAAAATTCTCCAACAGTTCGATTGGTTTTGGAAAATGTGATAGAGTACGTAGCGTTCTCGTTGGTGTTCCTGAAGGTCAACAACGTAGGTTTCACAATTATGCTTGGAAGAATTTGAGCGCGATAGGATGATCCAGGTTTACCAACATTTATGACTGTTCTAGTGTATGTCTGAGGAGCATCGGTCTTCATGATGATAGAGAAAGAAGGATAATTCAACTGTGGTTCAGTTATTCTTTTTAACTTTTGAGCATTGTACATCACGATTTGCAATGGTTGCTACCTGTCTGTCATCATAATTCAAGCCACATAAATAAGGAATGTAATCATTTGGTTGGATGTCATAAACTAGTCCTGGATCATTTGCTTTTGATGGGTTAACCTGGCCTGC